ATAAAGATGTTTTTCTCAGGGAAGCACACTGTTTCAGAATTTTGGACTTGTATTTTACAGATTAATTTCTAAAACAACTCTTTTCTTTCTGATGTGATTACAGGTCCGTAACAGCAAAGCTAGTGGCTACTGCCTGGATCAGGGAGCTGAAGAGGACGATAAAGCAATCCTTTACCCATGCCATGGAATGTCCTCTCAGGTCAGTATTTAGAATTGTTTAATAAATAGGAAACCTTTTGTTCAAAAGAAGCAAAAGAGTAATTTGGTAAATTTGAGTCGAATTTTGCAGTATATCACTGTAAGTCCAGATTTTGTTTTTTTCTCTGGTAGCAGACATGGAATGACAGCAGAGAGAGGTAGGTCTTGTTGAAATACAGAACTAGTACTAGGTCAGCTTGAACGTGGATAAATCCTAACTACTCAGGCTGGAACTGCTGGAGGCAAGTACGATCATACTGCTTTTGTTTGCTTTAGTGCAAACTAAACTTGTAGAAGATTTTTTAAAAAAGAAGGTAGAGTAGGGCATAAAAATTGCTGTGAATTTATTTGAAAGCTGGTGGGATTTTTCCAGCTAACTAACTCTTAAGATTTGGGGACCTAAGATAACTCTCCTCAAATTACAATCAGCTCTACGCATTTTTCCTCCGTGCCTTTCAAGTCAGCTTTCAGTTTCCTTTAGGAGAAAATCTTTTGAGTTGCAATCCCTAGAACAGCCACAGTGTAGCTCTTCCCAGGTGCAAATAACAGTACACAAAGTATTCACTACCCAAGATGTTTAAGCTGGGTGTAGTGACCACCTAAATCTCTTCCAACTCACTTATAGGAGAGGTCTCCTTTCTGATCACAATCTGAGAAAGAAGAGCCTGAAATGCTGTTTATAGATTTTACACTACAGCTGCAGCTGAAGCTTTGTTGTAACAGACATTATGTAAATGAATAGAAAGTCACTCTTCCCAAGTCCTTAAAATCCAAAGCATTCCCCCTGTGTGAGAACTATAAAAGTATGGAAAAGGTAAGAAGTTAATCTACCAAATCATCCTCCAGCATTTTATTTCACAAAAAAGGAAAAAACTTTCACTTTGTAAGAAATGTCAAGCAGAAGGCAGAGGTGATGTTTTATCTATCTGGAATATTTCACAGACAAGCATGAGTTAGAGCCACTCAGATGCAGCCAAGTTAATTAATGATTACACAGCTGGAAAACTTCTATCATCTCACCACAATTTAAAAAATTAATTCAGTATGAGAGCCACAGCTGCACAAACCTTAATCAAGGATATTCAAGCAGATAGCATGAAAGGTGTTGACAGCAAGCATTTTAATATATTAAATAAACATTTTTAAAGCTGCTCTTGTGTTTAACTTTCTGACATTTTTCCATCTGAAGAATAGGGCAGGAAATACCCCTGCTGAGTTGAGAATTGAGTAGTTGTATGTGCCTATTGAATATATACCATCTCATGTAAACAAAGCACTATTTTTCACCTGTTAGGTTATCACTGGCGTGTGATGCATCCTCCCGGTGTGCAAACCTCTCACCAGATCAGCTACAGTCTGTTTTTCAGACTTTTCAATTCTGACAAGCAAATAACCAGTGATTTTTAGTATGCACATGGTTCTACTGCAACCAACAGAAGTCAGTCATGTGTTTAAAGGAAGCTGAGCTAGGCAGAAGTTTAGTCCTCTTCATTGTGGGGGATGATGTTCTTTTCTTCTACTTCATACCCATCTATTTTCTCTGCGTGTTGTGCATCTGAGTGATGTTATCCTGCATTGCTAGCAAATAACAAAACGATTGCACTGTTACTACTCCACGAACAAAATGTC